CTACTACTACTTTACTGCTATACTTGAACTACTGCTACTTACTAAGATAAGATAAGATTTTATTTGACTCTATTGACCCCCGTCAGGGGTATGAGAGCACAACATATTTAGAACACAATACAGAAAGATATATAAAAACAAAGTAAAATATGATAATAAAATACATAGACATGATACATACATTTTTATATTTCTAAAACACAATAAACATGAGCTAAAGACTAAGTATACACTATACAATTTAAAGTTATAAGTCTAAACTATCACGTGGTTTGGTTTGTCTACCACAACGAGTACCTACACCTTTATTAACAAAAATAGGACCATGCCTTTCAGCCTTAGGAACCAACGAAAAGAATTGTATTATTACTCTTTTGAATTTTACGGGTTTTCTTAATTGTTTAACGCTAGATCTATTAAATAATGTGTCCATGTGAAATGTGCTAGGGTTACTCACAACAAACTGTCTATCTAAGTATAACTGCCTTTCTTTCTTGAAGAAAGGACAGACAAAAATATAGTGAAATTCATCTCCAAAAACCTTTAAATTACAACAAGGACATTCAATTGTACTTTCTTCAGGATTATTTTCAAACCTTCCATTATTAATTGGTAAGCGGTGTGACCTGCATCGGAATCGACACAAAGTGATTGCACCTCTTCTATTCAACTTTACCAGATACTTTTCAAATAAAATTACTCCTACTATTACTCCAAAACAATGTTTGCATCAATAATGAACAAAATGCAAAGTTTACTTTGAAAATTCAGATAATTCTGAATAGAACCCGTTTCTTCATAAATATAATCATTCTTCTTATTAATCTTTCAGCATTCCATAAATTACCATTATAACCAAAATTCAAGAGGAATGCTCCTTTCTATATCCAGTCGATGACGATAATAATACAAAGTGATGGTTTCGCTTGTCTTGATCAGGGTATAATGTCGTCATCAATCAAGTGATGTATAATGTGCATGACGGGGTCTCTGTCCCTTACACCCCACCGGGCGGAATGTCAATGTCTCTTTCCGTTTAAATCAATACCATGCCATGAATAGGCATTATATAGGACTCAACAGCAGTTTGGTTTATATCATCAGCTTGATGATAGCGGGCTGGATCGTAGTTTGTCTCAACTGAACATGAGATGTGATCATCTTAAGTAACTTCTTGGAACCTCCTTGGTTGATTATGGATATAAGGACTCTGCATGGTGTCATATTTTCTTGATACACAAAACCACAGAGGAGCTGTGCATTTTGTCCCCCCCCCCCCGCCCCCTCCTCCCTCTCTCTCTCCCCCTCTCCCTCTCTCTCTCTCTCTTTCGCTCTCCCTCTTCCTCTCTCTCTCTCTCTCTCTCTCTCTCTATTTAACAAGTTACATTTAGTGTGCCTAAAATCTCCTAATCCGTCTGTAAATTAATGAAATATCATTGCTAACTATTTTTATGTTGAAGGTTTAAAAACGTTGTCCTTTTCATGTGATTGAGTGGGGATTAACATTGAACGATAATGTCTAAAGTTATATTTCTTAACCCTTTCCTCTATAGGCGAATTTCAGTCGGGTATTAAATTATGAAAAATTTATGAACATGTACTAACCCCCTCTTTTACCCCTTGATCGTGGAAAAAATATTTACCGTTAAGCGAGATTATCTATTAAAGTAGGTCAATACTATCATCCTCGAAATGAAATTAGTTCCAGAGTGTCATGGAATTTTGTAAATATTTTGAGGTGAGATACATTGCCAATTTCTTCCGATTCAATTAAGTATCTAATCCAACTACCCTTAAGCACTTTTTTCACCACGGGCCAACATAAAACTAGGCTTTTCTGAAACGTTGCCAAACCTTCCCTCCCTCCCCCTCTCCCTTTCGCTCTTAAAAAAAAGTATGTAATTTGATGTACAATATCAGATTCTCTGCTCCCCCCCCCCCCCCCCCCCACTGCTTCACTTACATCTATCTCTCTCTCTCTCTCTCTTTTTCTCTTTCTCTTTCTCTTTCTCTCTCTCTAATTAATCTCTATAATATAATTTTTTTTTTTTTTTTGAGGGGAGAATTATTATTGTTATTTCTACAGAAAACACTTCGTACTCCCCCCCCCCCTCTCCCCCCCCCCCCCCTCTCTCTCTCTCTCTCTCTCTCTCTCTCTCTCATCGTGTCACCCGCCTTTTCGTCACGCAGGAGCAGTAGTACCGTACTCCTAATTCCACCAAGGGAAAACCTCTTCCTCTCTAAACGATACTCGTGTTAACTTGCCGACTCTTATAATCCTATACCGCTGTCTGAAAGCAAGCCGACCGTGCAATATCGCTATGAAATATTTCGTCGTATTACGCGTAAGGGACTTGAATAATACATCATTTTTCGCGCAAATGAAGTGTTGGTGCACTTGGTATGGGGCATTAACAAGGAAAAAAGGTGTGTGCGGGAGGGAGAGAGAGAGATAACAAATTTGTGAAGGGGGTGGGGTGGAAGGAGCTAGCACGGACATAGGAATAAGACAAGGTACTTAACACGATGCATGTCTGAAGACAGACACGTACCAAATGTGGATGAAAAATGGCTAGTGCCAATTACATATTCATACACCTGTGATGTTTCTCAAGGCAAACATTCATGGGATGAGATCGATTTCTGTTGCAGAGAGCGCTACACAAAATAATTTTTTTGTGAGCTAATGAAAACTGAGTGTCAAATTTGAAAAAAACATATATTATTTAAATGACAAAACCCTCTTTGTTTGATCAAAATCGGTTCAGAGGCGGCTAAAATATAACAATTTGTGTACCACCACAAATATTAGATATTTTGAAAAATTTGAAAAAACCGTTGAAAAAACGAAATAACGCATTTTACGTCGTATTTCAGGCAATGTCGATGTTGGCTTTTTTGTAGGCATTTTCGGGTTGCTAATATTACACACAACCAGCCGTCCCATGTATTGTTATTTTTAATTAATTAATTAATTAACGATCACCGTGTTTTTTTAAAAGTGGAGCTGAATTGGTACGCTCGTATTGGCTAAATTTCACACATTTTGGGTCTAAAATTACCTTCATAGCAATCTTAAGTTCTAAAAGGGTAATAGAAATGTCATAGATAAGAATAAGATCAATAACCATGCACTTTGAAAGCATTTGCGGTCTGAAAACAGAGCTCAACCATCCCTTTAAGGTTTGTTGAACAGATGGTGTTGTACGGTATGTCACTGAAACAGCTCCCGTAGGATTTTTGTGCTAAAGTTGATTTTTTGTTGTTGAATTTTTGGATTCATTGGGGTCCAGGCTATCAGAAATTGATGGGGTTCAAATTTTCCCGAAGACACCACCCAATAAGGACCCCCCCCCCCCCAGGAAATTAAGGAGGCGTCTGAAAATTTGAACCCCATCATTTTTGGCCAATTGGGACCCTTTTGAAGCCAAAACAGCACAACAAAAATCAACTTTGGCAAAAAAATCCTACGGGATTACATATACCATACCGCACTAAGAGGTAAATGCAGGTTTTGTAGCTGGATTGAATTCATTGATGAAATTAGAGTTCTCAGAGGCCTGTTGATGGACAACTTTTTCCTCAAGAAAATATTAGGGTTTGTGTTTAACGTCATTGATTTAATGATTGAAAGCATCAATATAACGTATTAATGGATTTCAACATTCTCGCTGCCTTTGCCAGTAAGCTCAATATCTGCGGCATTTAGAAATATTAAATGCTGTTTCAATTATTGTTTTAGTCCTATTTCTAATTTGTCAACATTTCAGGTTTAAATCTTCGACTGACCGCTCCATTAATATTAAACTTCCTGTATTCAATGGAAATCATAATTGACTGGAATCCCCGTAATCACCAATGATTATAATACACATAATTATCCTTATAAGAAAAGAGCAGCTGCGACTGATGTCGTGTTTACACCCAGCCCCCCCCCCCCCCCCCCCCTCTCTCCCTCTCTCTCTCTTTCTCTCTCTCTCTCTCTCTCTCTCTCTCTCTCTCTCTCTATATATATATATATTTTGTTATATTTTTTTGTAGAAAATATTTTGACATGAACAAAATTTGTTTTTTCTCTCTAAAAAAATCCATCACTCTCGAATCTCAGCATATAGATGATATTTTGCTATCCATACGGTATGAGACGGCGCGGTTTGTCAGAGTAAATAATACATTTCTGATCAAATAGTGTCATGCAGTCTAGCATTAAGGTTACAATATACGAATCCATTAATCTTTCACACTGATATCTAACGCTCCCATCAGTCAGTGTAACTGATCTTTGCAATCTGTCATTCTTCTATGATTCAAAATATTAGATATTTTGAAATATTTATTACTTTCCCCGTCTATTATTTCCATTGTAGGATTTCCAGAGACTAAAATAGAACATAATCATTTTTAATGCACAATTGCAAAATATTTAGTTTGCCGGACAAAGTTTTAGCAACGTCGTTATGTAGCTGAAAAGAGAGAACTGCCTCGTTGATTTCATTACGTAAATTAACTTTGAATTACCAAACGGTTTGATAGTATAATTGCACGATGACAGAAAGCGTCTCTGAATTATTTAATTACAACACGTGTTATTCATTTGTCACTAATATGTTATGCTATTTTAACTTACACGATGATTACAGACCAGATATTTACGAACACCGAGGAAGAGCAGTACGTGCATCTACTCTATGACAATCCCGATATAATGCATTCTTATTTCTAAAGGAATGTATTGCTGACTGAACTTTACTCTCATAATTATCTTCTAAAGATAATTATTTGTTTGTAGATTCAGTAAAATCGTGTAATTATTAAATTTGCCCTTACAACGTATACCTCTTTGTCTGTCTCTCGTTGTTTAACATCTGAATATATTTCATGTCGTGATGATAATTATATTGATTGATGGATCGTTTATTTTTCATGAGTGCTAAGAAAATAACTGACTGTTGTAAATTGTGGTATATTTCTGACTGCGCTCACTTTACCTTTCCGTACAGGCATACACCCTCACGTGACACCTGTGGAATAGGAAAAGTACACACACGTCCAAACCACCCAATGGCAACCGACAGACAAGTTACCATAAAACCGTGGAATATATCTGAATTCTGGACACGTGAAGTATCGGAAGTTCGCGTTGACCGTCGGCTCGTCTATCAAAGCTTTAATAATTGATTATTCACTGCGGTGCTACGATGATCAATCATTCCAAACCAAAATATACTGGAATAATAACTATATTCAGTGTTAGGTCTATAGCTGGATAACTCGAAACTACCAAACAACCGACGGACATCAGTTTCGAGTATGGCTACTTCGCTTTTCGGAGGCGGAAGGATGTCCTCTTCATCGAGGTCTCGGCATGGTCTTAAAGTCGGGCTGGTGGTCATCTTGGTGGTCGGGTTGGCACCCATACTCATATCGTTGAATTCAGGATCGGCATCATCTTCCTCGTCGTCATCGTCGGCGGCAATGGGAGGACATGGAATGGGGCCGATGGGTGCTTGGGGGATGAGGGATGACAGCGGGAAGACGAGGGAGAAAGGGATGGATGCAGTCATTGCAGAGCAGAAAGGAGGGAGTATGGTAACACTGGAGAAAAACAAGGTATAGTAAATGTGCAAACGTAATTATTCACTCCTTCTCTCTGTGTCTGTCTGTCTGTCTGTGTCTATCTCTCTCTGTCTCTCTGTGTCTGTCTCTCTCCCTCTTCTCCCTCTTATCTCTCTATTTTTCTTCTCTCTCTCTCTCTCTCTCTCTCTCTCTCTTACTCTCGTCGTATATCTCTTTCTCTATAATATGTATCGCCTGGGTCCCCCTATTATTATCTACCATGATATCTCTAACAAATGTGTTCTTGAAGTATAATTCTACTATTGCCTCATTCGTTTATTTTTTGTGAATTCAAAACAATGTCTGTTGTCATTCAACTGTACGCCTTTATCAAACATAGAAAATTAAGTGTGAAGTTAGATATTTTTAGGTTTACTCTTTATAATGCCAGTTACTTTTTGGAATTACTGAAAGCCTGGTACATGCCGTAGAGATACTTGATCGAAAATTGATCTCTGTAGTATACACAGTGACATTGACCAAAGTCCACTATCCATTAACGGTGTAAGAGGAAAACGGTCATTGACCTTTTGCAAGGTAAAGTCTTCCGGTCTTAAATCTTTTCACACCAAACTTGATATGAAAACATCCGCTGCATAATTTCGCAGTCAACCCTGCTTGCTCGTAGTTAAAAATGGTTTGTATTGTTAATCTAGCTTTGAGGGCGACACTTTCCCCCATTCTATAGGACTTGAAGTGACATTGATGTCCATGTCCACTATCTGGAATAGTCAAGTTTAAACTGAATGTGATAAGCTATTCATGACTTCATGTACAGAATGTCATAATTCTGCAATGTATAATGAAACTGTCAAATTGTAAACGAGGACATCTACGATTTGTGTTTTTAAAGGTACTATGTCCCATTTATAGCCAACTTCAAATTCTGTAGAAGTTTGCAGGAATTATGAACAAGTCAGGTATGTCCTATCTGTGAAATTTAAATGTTAACAGTGTCCTAATATTCAAATTATGCAAGGAAATCCGTTTACCATCTAGACTTCACTGTCAAACACTATTGAGTGACTGACTAAATTATTTTTCTTTGGTAATAACATACATAAAATGAGCTAGGGTACACGAGCATTTGTCTACATCAACAACCCAATTCTTCTAATGGCCAAAATTAAATTGATTGAATCTTTGCGCAGCACAAAATGTACAACCGTTCGGTACAAGGGTCTGAAAATTAGACTATTACTTTAGTGATTGCAATCACCAAAGTCGATTCAACAACTAATGGTCGTTATTTTACCACTTTAAGACATTTTCATGCCCTTCCGTTTTGAGGGAAGTTCTAAATTAGTATTATCGTTCAAATGCCGTTGGAATTTAATCTTTTCATTTTGGGGGGCCTGCAAATGTGACATAGTTAGTACCTTTAACAGAGGCGATATTCCAGTTTGTCAGATAAACGACAGTAACCTGAAGAGATATTAATCCGTGTTGCTTTAACGATGCCACTTAATGGACAAGAAGCAGGTGTCTTATAAATTTATCACACCAAGCGTACTCTTTGATGTCCCGCATATTTAGGTGATGTGAAATGTTTATTGCATAAAATGAAAAATGTAGGCCTATGTATTTTCACGTCTGAAGTAGAATATAATACACGTTGTTTTATATGATTGTAAAAGTTAGGTAAGCGGTTTTGAGGGTCAAAATGTAGAAAGGGTTTTGCAGGCCTATTTTGTTTCGGGTTTAAGCTTGGAGATGTAAATTGAACTAGCGGTCGACTCTCTGATTTGTCTATACGTGGACCATGGGTTCGATCCTCGGTCAGTGTTTGACATTAGAGGTCGGTCCTAAGAGGTCCTGCGTAATCGTATCTGATTCGTTATTCGTCTGTAAAACCTAATCGCCAACACACATGCTTGCTCTTAGCGTATACCTGTAACATGTGACAATTATAATGATGCATTTCATTCATTCATTCATTCATCGGATTATTATTGTATTCTAGGACATACAGGGTAATAACCGCCATCTCAACACCAACCAACATCCACGTCATCGAACTTTAGACCAATCACAGTCCACCCAAAGATCACGTGACATTCACCCTCCAGTACTAAAGGAGACTACAGGGAACTACGAGCCCCCTCGCCAGCCATATCGGACCGGCCCGGGAGAGTATGGCTTAGGGGTTCTTCTTAATCATAACGAGAAGCATCTTTATGATAAGGCTTTCGAGGAATATGGATTCAATATGGTGGTCAGTGATCGGATATCGTTGGATCGTATCGTAGCAGATCTCAGAGACAAGGAGTAAGTTAACAAGATCGATTGTTAACCATTTGCAGAAAGAAGTGATTAATTTTGCAAAGAATGAGTTTGGCATCTCCTTTACAAAAAGCTTTAGTAATAGTTACAACAGCACTATATTCAATCACATTTTCTGCCATCAATGATATCTTTGAAAATTATAGCAAAGAGAAAAATAAAGAGTATCTAAATAAAATAATTAAATTGTATCTGTTTTACATTATTGAACGGATGACCATCACATAAGCATAAATAAGCAAGGTAAGAAAATGTGACTACCCGTGACAAAACGTTATCATGTCTCTCTTTTTTTTGTGTGTGTTTTTTTTTGTTACTCGAATTTCATTACTTCCAGTATTCTATTGGCTTAGCTGTTAGTAAAAAATGAACAAAGTTTATTATTATGCTAGTAGACTGTATCGGACTGGCGTCTTTAAATTTTATCTTGTGCTCTTTTGCTTGCTGGGAAATTTTACGTGAATGACCTACATGTGTGCAATATTCTTTCCTGACAGGAATTTGAAATCAAAACATCAGTCTCTTCGAGCAGGTGTCTGTCATTAAATGACGCTACATTACACCACATTCCCAAGGCACAGTTACATATTTCATAAGGCAGACATATAGGCAAAGTGTGACAATAAGACACCCCCGTTTGACACTGATGAATCGTTTGACACTGATGTATGCTTTGATTGATCACGAGGGAGAATGGATGTTTAAATCATTGCTTTCACTAAATTTTATGTCCTACCTTTATACACAATTCGGTGTGGCGTATACATGGAATGTTTTTTTCCATCTTGTTTCACTCTCAAAAGGCAATTTTATTGTATTAGATTTATTTTAAGCTGGGTTAATATAAAACACTCAATATATCCTCTCACACAGATGTGATTCCTTTGCCTCTCAACATACGCATTAACGTGCTGGCATCCATTTTTGTTTCTAACATTTCTTAATATTTGTATTTATATATATATTTTTCAGATGCAAGCACTGGCATTATCCGACTAACTTACCAAACACGAGTGTAGTGATTGTCTTCCATCAGGAAGGCTGGTCAACATTAATTAGGACCATTCACAGCATCTTTAATACTTCTCCGAAAGAGCTGTTAGCAGAGGTACTACTCGTCGACGACTACAGTGATAAGGGTATGTATACGAAACCTTGCCAAAATTCTAGGTTATATAACCGATAAGATTATTATTAAATAGGATTATTATTTTACAAACCGATAAAGTCAAAGCATAGGACATGCCGAAGTACGATTGTTACACTAATTTATTGATTTGTGATTGCCTCAGCAATAGAACTATACCCTCTTTTTATTCAACGAATTTTAAACAACATACAATTATAAAAAATTAAAAAAAAAAAACATACAAATATGAAGTTTTCCACTTTGCTATTACTGCCCACATTGACAGCAAAACAGCAAAAAATAAATTTGTTAGCTTTAAGCATGCGTTTTACGTTCCGCAGTCATGCCAAACAGTGGCTTATCCACAGACATTGATAAAAAGATAAACATGGGGGCTGGGGGAGGGGGCGAATGAGCTTGGGCAGTCACACTATGTCTTCTTTGTTTGCTATTGGGGGTCGTACAATTTTTCTATCTTATGCTGGATGCGCCACCGCTTTACACATGGTGCATCTGTCTCTGATTATGTAGGTACATCTATTTTATTTAATTCACGGAAATGTTCATTTCTTTCCTCTTCTCTCTTCTTTCCAGTCCACCTCAAGAAGAAATTAGACGACTATATTCGCGACCCAAGGTTCTCTGGAAAGATCCGCATTGTCCGGAACAAGAAGCGAGAAGGTCTGATCAGGTCCAGGACTATTGGGGCTAGGAAAGCGATAGGACAGGTCCTAACATTCCTCGATGCTCATTGTGAATGTGGACCAAACTGGCTTCCTCCTCTATTGGCAGAAATTGCAGTAGATCGGTAAGAAAAATGAAAATTATATTGTTGATCCCCTTTGGTTGTAGTAGGCATACCCATTCAGTGCGTTATGTTCTCATGATTCTTGTATATTGATTTTGTTTTCTTATAATATCTTCAAGTCTCAATTGCCCTTCTGTTTTATAAGCCCTATTTGATTATGTTTACTTATTCTAATTTTCTTACATACCAATAATTATAAGCCTTTCTGTTGCTTCTTGTCTCCAGTGAAAAATAGTTTCCCCTTTGAAATAATATTAATTCCAATTCTGCCAAGTCTGGAATTATTCAGAGAGGACATGAGCGTTGTCTGAAAACAAATCACGCACACTGAATATATTATTACATTGTTTGCTATATAAGTTTTATCATATCGTTCTTTTTTGTTGCATTGTAACAAAACACTTATATTACTCATACAATAAGATGTACTTTAGATGTTCATTCGATTAAGAAGATTTTGCTTCATTTATCAAGTGCTTAGGCCTAGGTCATGACAAAAAGTTAAACTAGAAATGGTGTATCTTTGATTTTGAAAGAGGGAGCTATATCATGCAATCACTGTGGTGTTTATTGACTGCAGAGAGCAACCTTTCTCAATTACACAACACGTAACCTTATTTATTCTAAGTTTCATTACTAAAAACAATGTTTTTTAATAAATACATGATTATCAAAATGAACCCATTTTAACCCTCCTTTGTTGTGTAGGTCCACGATAGTTTGTCCGACCGTAGATGCAATCAGTTCTGATACCTTCGCCTATACATCGCAGGGAGATGGGCTCTGTCGCGGTGCTTTCGACTGGGATTTCTGGTATAAGAGAATTCCTGTCAAACCTTACTGGCACAGGCTGGGATTGAAACAAAGGAGTCAACCTTACCCGTAAGCAAAAAAAAATAATGAATTCAGAAGTGTAATTTGTTACTGGTTTTAAATCGGTGTGCGTTTCTCATGCTTAGAATATGAAAGAGATTAAAGAGGCTCGAAGAGACAAACTATAGTTTAAAATAAGATAATTTGAGACTTCCCTGCTAAACATCTGTTCATACATGTAATTTCACGGCTTTTTTGTGGCAAGTTTCAAAAATTGATAATCAAACGTTTGCGCCTTGCGATGGCGGCATTTGCCCCCTTTAATCGAACGGCAAAAATAAAAGTTACAGAGACAGGAAATTGTAGGCGGAAATGAAAGTAAGAATAAGATATGACCCGCCTTTTCTAGGACGTACCTTCCCGCTCGGTTGATTTGCTCTCTCGCAATTCATCCATCTTGGGCGACTCGAGTTCCCTTCATGACGGGATCAACGCTATGCCTGTGTAAGATATAATTTGATTTTGTTGGTTTTGTATTAACCAAAAATATTGGAAAAGGCTATTCATTCACTTCGAATGTGTATTTAAAATTATATTTGAAAATCGAAGAAAATTTAAATTAAAAAGCGGCCATTGTATGTGACTATAAACCCTTCTTCATAAATGATTTAAACCTTCAAAGGTAGCAAAAATATATCGCCTCAAAATTTTCAGAAATGGCCCATTTATCAAATTTATAATATCAAAAAATTCATAATTCTAAAGATCCTTAGATTTCACTTGTTGATTACCAAGACTGTATTGATTTAGCGTAAGGTTTGCACAGTTTCAAAAAGTCGTACGTGTTTGAATTCGTATCGATATATTCCGCTCTTCTAGTAATAACCACTCCTCTCGATTGCAGCAGTGATTATAACTGGTTTAACTTCGTTTTATTGTTGTTAGCTCTCCCGTCATGGCAGGAGGTCTACTGGCTCTAGATCGGTCCTATTTCTTTGAACTTGGAGGATACGATCCAGGATTACAGATCTGGGGAGGAGAGAATTTTGAAATTTCATTTAAAGTAAGTATCGAATCTCATCATAATGGACAATTATGTATGGAATAGGTTAGTTGGGATCTTGTATTTTCATAATAGGCCCAATTCCTATTTATATAAATCAAACTAATAAAAGATCACCGATTTGTCAAAGGAACTTTTGAATAGTGTGAGAGAAAAGCAATTTTGAACTATTATTATTATTATTATTTTTTCGGCAATTTCACAAAAAATATAACGATGTAAATATGAGTAAACAAAAATTAAAGGAATTTCAATTATTAATGCACAATCTTACTGGAGGTCCTCTGAGTGCATCAGTTGGCTGCCGGGGAAGAGGAAAGCAAACTGAATCACTAGAATAAATCTCTACTTCAGGAAGAAGGAAAAATGTAATACAATGGGTGAATGTAATGAGGAGGTCTTCACAATAGCTTTTTTAAAGTAGATGATTCAAAATTATGTTCTTTTTAAACGTTCATTATGTTCTTTAATAATAAAAACTATATTTGTGCAATGTAATACTGAATATTTCTGTGGCGTCTATATGTTATCCTCAATTTTATCATTTTATAGGTTTGGATGTGTGGGGGCTCTCTGAAGTTTGTTCCTTGTTCTCGAGTGGGTCATGTCTATCGGAAACAAGTGCCTTATAGCTATCCATCGTCCGGTGTAGAGGGTGTATCTGTCGTAGACTTGGTAAGATGGAGTTAATGTTCTCACAGTTGGCGATATTCATCTGAGGGCGCATGTTATATTTCTCTTCACTTGGTGTTTTAGTTTACCCATATTCCCCTAATGCAGCAATTTCTTCTGTATAGTTTCTTCTACTATTTTTTTTGGTAAAGCATTCAGCAGTTTGGCACAAGGTATTTTAATCCAACTCGCGCTTTTTACCAGCATTTTTTCTCTTAACGTGAACATGTGAACAAAGATTTCATAAAGTTTCAACGATTAGATCTATTTTTACAGACAGTTAAAAAGGCCTGCTTGTATTGTAAAACGTATTGTAATTATACTATCTTGTGCCAGTTATTACAATAAAAACAAATGTCAGTCGTGAATAAAGATTTAATGATTGTAAAATATATCTACTATAACAAAATCTATTAGCTAGAGATAGAGCTGGTTTCAAACGAAATAGGTTAAATTGTGTTTAAAATTTCACCATTAAATAATATTTTAATAGCATCTATGTGCATCTTTGTTAATCCTTTTTCTTGTTCTGACTTCATAACACCTCTTTCTCTTTCTCTCTCGATCGATCGACACGCATAATTGTTTCTATCACTATTTGCATTACTATTGCACCAACAGGTTAATTTATATGTCTCTTTCCTATTTCATGTTTCTGTTGCGTGATCCCAATAAAGTATACTCATCTCAAAACCAACTTTACACAATTCGGTATTGACACAGAATTACATGCGAGTTGCTGAAGTCTGGCTGGATGAATACAAAGACTCGTTCTACGCCACCAAACCCCTGCTGGAAGGCAAGCCATGTGGCAACATCAGCGAACAGGTCGAGTACAGAAAACAGAACTGCCCCAAGTCATTCAAATGGTTCATGGAAGAAATTGCCTTCGACAACTTACAAGAATACCCACCACCAGCCAAGAATAAGATTTGGGGAGAGGTACGTCTTTATCTCAATCGTTTCTTCGATGTTTACATTTTAATCTAATTTGCCCTTTCCCAAATTTGCACAATTTTCTTTGATAGTATATAGTTATGAAATGGCAATGATTCATCAATCGCCACAAAAACGAGTGAATGTTTCGCAGAGAAGTATGTTTCGTTTAACACATCCATACGTAAAGATTTGAGAGTTCGTCATCGACACATAGGCCTAAGAAAAATTGTTTGTAAAAGTAAGATTATCGGTTGATGTCACTGAAGGGAAAGCTGGGTAAATGATGAGTTCTGTGCCTGAATCTTTGAACACTGGTAATGCGACTTGAAACCTTTAATAGCAGATTGGATAGTGTCTATACACAAAATATATCGGAACAGGTTTCGTTTCCGGACATGCTATGAAATGAGCAAAATGTTTCAAATATTTATACAATTTAGGTATAAAATGAATTAATTATCACGATTATATTCATCTAAAAGCGTTAAAGAATTGATGACAATTAGAAATGACAATTGACATAATATGCGGTGTTAATTCGCCGCATATAAATTACACTTTTATCGTCTGTTACGTTTTAAAATATTAACGATCTTTTGATTCGCTCTCTTTTCTGTTTTTATAAAGATTCGATCTGTCGACTCGGAGCTTTGCTTGGATACCAACGGTGCCCAGAATGACCCCACCCATGCCACGATGGGTATGGAAGGGTGCCATGGTATGGGTGGTAACCAGCTCTTCCGTATTAACACCAGAGGACAGTTAGTAGTAGAAGATGGATTCTGTTTATATGCGAGACCTAATACAGAAAAGCTCATCTTCGCCAAATGCACTGCGGAGAAGTCCTTCACATCAGAAACCACGATGTGGGATTACGACTCGGTAAGGTTTTAAGTAGTGTTACATTCTAGAAGCTGTTAAACTATGAAATCTTAGTAATGACTTACATCTATGTGAACGATGCAAAGTGCTTTTTTTCAGTGAAGTTTTATTAAATTTTCCATATTTCTATCCGAAAAATGAGAATCTGCTTCTGTCTCTACTTCTGCGTCTACTTCTACTACTGTTACTTCCACTGTTCTGTTTCCACATCCGCTTTCAATTCTACTTTCATTTCTATGCTGCATGCAGTTAATACGATAATATACAAAGATAGGATATTTCTTTAACCATGATTATAGTCTATTTATATATTTTGTCTTTTTATACAGGATCGACAGATTATACATTTGGAGAGAAGAAAGCGATGTCTGGATCATAATCAAGAAACAAGCAAAGTTTTCGTCACCCCATGTCAACATGGTGAAATATCACAACAATTTAAATTTTACAAAGAAGAAATCCGCTGATAACAGCTCATAGCTTGATTTTTATGTGTAGAAAATATAAATTTGAAACTGTGTGGTAAGATGGATTGAACAGGAACAAGAATGTTAAGAAAATATGTTGTTAAAAAAAAAACAGATTTCAGGAATTATGCGGATGAAAAAGGTCTACATCAATCCCGGAGATAAAAGATGTGTCAAAGCGCCTTTTCAATTTTTGTTTCTATTCGCTTCGATTTTCCTGTTCACCCCGTTTTACAATATTTATGACTTTTTAAATATTATTATTTGAGATTGTTCGGCGGGCCTAAACTTAGTTTACAACACATTCTACTTTATAGTGTGCTCTTCCAAACTGTAACGTTTGCTTTTGTAAAAAATACGACGTAAGTAAAAAAAACAAAAAAAAAAAACATGAATTTATATTTTTTTTTGTATTTTGTATATCAATGATGGTCTTTATTATCAATCGAATGTTTGCTATTTGTTCTTAAATTCATAGAATTCAACAAATAGAATGGAAGATGGAATAAAACAAAATAAAATAAAATTCAGTATTCTTGTCATAGCAGATAAAATTTTCAGTGATAAAAGGTTCTATTTTTAAAGGTAATACAAAGTTTTGGTATGGGATCATGAATTTGGTTCAAATGAACATATTGGAAGCATATGCGGTCCTACAATATTCAGTGATCGTTGCCGCGGTTGAAATCGAGTCTAAAGCTATGAAATTGTAAATAATAAACTCTTTATGTTGTATAGCTCCCTCTCAAGGTCAAGATATTAATTAAGCTATAAAACAATGTTTATTGACTAAAATCGACCGATTAGCTATTCCCGTTCGGAAATTATATATCACAACTACATATTCTGAGATTTTCATGGTCGCAGCTACCATTGTACAGCCGTAGGCGCTATTTGAAATCTATCAACATTTACCGGGAGCACCGGTAAATGTTTATATTCAATTTTTCTCAAAAGCAGAAGTGTTTTAGGGGATAAATTTTCTAGTGCTTATAATACATCCACAGGGGCATCCAAATATATCAAAATTGTAAAGAATCACTTTCCAACCCATTTCCAAAATTTCCCAAAACTTTGTATTACCTTTAAGTAAATTAATATTCTTTTGACAATGATATAAGGTACTGTTATTATGTTTCTTTATTATATCAGCATAGACAACAAAGCTGCAAGGAAAATAGGGTTTAATTTAGATCCCAAAATACATTGGTTGTCTTAGTAACGTATACAAAGTTGTTTCACAGCAAAACAGTCGCTAAAGCTATATGCATTTATTATAATGAATATATTAATGGGTACATTTCAATGTGATTTCCAATTTCAAAAGATATTTGGTGTAGCACTTTTTCCTAGCTGTTATAGCGCTGCACACATCGATACATCCGTTTGGGCCACTTAATCAATAACATTCCGCTTAAAAAAGACCAGATGAGTCAATAAAATCCAGTGTCCTCTAACAAATTAAATGGGATTTCAGAAGTTTCTTGAATTGGTCAACAGATGAAACAGTCTTCACAATAGTCAGTAGCCGGTTCCACACTTTGATGCAACCCATGGAAAGGACATTTCTCCTATACATTTCTTAGAGACGTTGAGTTAGCAAGACGAAGATGAGATTGTACGAGGATTCGTACTTTGTAGAAAGGATTCATTTACATTAATAAAAAATAATAAAAAAGGTTTGCTGCCGATTTGACATATTCTAAACAATCAATTAACTCATTCATCTATTTCATCGAATGTTTATTTGACCGATACAGTAACATATTTAATAGACGTACTGTACATGAATTGTGAATTGAACATCTTTTTTTATAAATACAATATTATAATGTGAAATAAAATCATTGCTGCTGCTTTTGTATACACTGTATTGTTTTTCTCTTTTGTGTGTACACTTTGTTCAGAAAGCTATCTTCAGTTGCTATCATCTCATCTCTCTCTCTCTCTCTCTCTCTCTCTCTCTTTACTTTGGTCTTTATCTTCTCTTTCTGTTCCTTTCCCGTCACTTTTGTATACCAGTAAATCTACATAATTTGAGGAAACATTCTAGCTTTCGAAATGTTTACAAAATAAAAGAAAGAAAAGTCAGACATTCATTTCATGCGATTACCAACATTTAATGAAATAGATTTCAAAAATGGCTCAAATTATGGTAGAATTCATTTTGTACAGTTTACATTAGTTTTCTTTCTCATACACAATTTGTACAACCGCCATGAAAAGATGGCTCCCAAAAATCAGGAAATTAACTTCTGCTTTCAAAACAAAAGAATTCAAAATTAAAAAGGAATATAGCTTAATATATTAACATCATCACTTGAGCAGTCACCAACAATCTCCTAGTACAAGAATGTAAACATTTTCCTAACTATAAAATGTTATTTGTAGAAATGTTATGGCTTAAAATGTAGAAACGTTATGGCTTAAAAACTTCAATACAGATTATTCTTGTTTAAATTCTAATGATCAATTTTTGAAAATAAACTTTGCTTAATACATATATATATATATAAATATATATATATGCAACTTCACTGGATATAACACCCCCCACCATATCAATTATTACATCGAGTTTATGATACTGTTTCAGGTAAAATGGCTATATATAAAGAGGCTCACATGTAAAAGCCATTAAAATTTTGTCATGCGCTTTGGATCTCGTAACATACCCAGAACATTTGCTGCAATGAAATATATAATAAAAGGTCACAAAATGTTCATACCAGCAAATTCATTGCACAACTTGATATTCCTATATAGCTCGAGCCTTGTGCACATGTAATGGAATAGACTGCTGAAAAGAAAATGCTGTGGCAAAATAAAATGACATAAGCATTAGCATATTATATTTCATTTTTCTGTATCTCACATAAGAACAGATTAGTAAGTACACTAAAAGGGACCTTAGTTTTGTGCAGCTATTGTAAGTTAACCTCAAATTTCCCTTCACTATAAACACTTAAAATACTTTAATTATGTTGCACCATTATAAGAAAACCTTGGGGAAAAAACACGGACCCCATAGAGAAAGAAATCATAACCTATGCTGGCTACACGGACATCAATGAACAGGTCTCTTGAACTGATACAAAGTATAGATAAATGCAAAATGTGTCATACCGGTATTTGTTATTTTAAAGTGTTGATACTTGGAAATTTTCTGTCTGATATATCTAAAAATACCCAACCATGGAAAAACAGGACATTTAGGTGAAATGTTTAAAAAGCATATGACATTATATACCTCACTTAAGAAATCCAGCCATCTGATTGGTCGAAATGACTGCTTTAATATTCAAGAAATAGTTGTTTTTATACGCTCTTGGGAAGGTTACAATTGGGTTATTGTAACCTTCCCTTGAGCGTACAAAAACAACTATTTCTCTCAAAGCAGTCATTAATACTATACCATTACACCCAATACTATAAATTATGCTCAATCGATAATGACACTTCAATCATATTTGGCACACTAAACATAATTATTTGTACAGTTCATCACAAGATCCTTTTTTTTTTTTATAGATTCCATACAATGGCTTTGCAGAAAGCAAGAAAATCAACCTTTCTGAATAGTTGCCATTGTTTGTTGTATTTATATTCAATAAAATATTTTGTAGAGCATTCTTTTTATCAAAAATACAAACATTGAACATTCTGATTTTAATAATTCTGTCCTCCTATACCTTACTACTTGTGTTGTTGTGATCTTTAAACCCAAAACAGTTAGTGGGTCATATTTTTGCGGCCTTAATCTATAAAGACATATAATAGATATGTCATTAATCTTTTTACTGTCCTTCATGACATAACACTGAAGGAGATATATTCAACAATGTTATCATGATAGTTCAAAGTCACTTTTGAAGCAATACATTTTTTTAAAGGACATATGTTAAGCATTACAGATTCTTAAGCCATTATATCTAATTGGAAAAAAAAAATTGTTGAGAAGATAAGGTTCTGCATAGTTCACAATTTTGTTCTATTATAGTCTATCACATACAAGGCTATCACTTTAAATGAAAAATAATGCTGATTCTTTAAAATTTCACATCACAATTCTTTCCATAAATATTAGAATGAGATACAACTACCAATCATTTTCCCTCAATCATAAATAAATAAATAGCAGGGGAGGGGTTCATAGGGAATCCAACTACAGAAAACATCATTCTAAATTATTATTGAATGACATCTGTCTTTCACTATCAACATCAGCTGCATCAGAGGAAAATTTTTAATAGATTGTTTTTAAAATGGAGTGTATCCCGAGGATAAGTTAGAAAAAATATTGAGTTATGGTATTCATTGCATTTGCTGAAATAATACAAGTTTCAATTGAAGTGTCAGATACCATAGACGCTCCTAAAACATATATCTGGTCTGGCCACAAAAACGGCAACCTTTTCTCACTTATTCTTTCGACTTTCTTCCATGTCACATATATATGACTTTCTAAAAGAAAATCCTTGTAGCAATATTTGTTTAATGGTTTAAAACTCATGACTGGAAATGCAAAGATTGTTGGTTCAATCCCTGATGAAACATATATATATATATATATATATATATATATATATATAAGCAAGCCGTTTTATCTACATTGCTTCTCTCCATCCAGGTTTTAAATTGGTACCTGCATTTTGAATGGGTTCCTAGGCAGATGCGAAAATGATTGTGATTTTTTCAGCATAGTTACAAGATGCCTGGTTGGAATGCTCCACAGGGAGTGGAGAAGGTGCACGTGCCGTGTACAGGCAAGCCTGAATCCAATGACCAAGGGAAAAATATTTATGTGAAGCACTTACAGACCTTGTGGATGTATTAGGCTCAATTGAATATAAATCCAGAATGTAATTATCATCACATCCTACTGTATTGTGGCACGATGTGCCGTTCTATCTCAGCTTTGTAACACTCCAAGAACTGCAGAAAAACAACCCATTGTATAACCCAAAAAGGTTATATAGATATATGTGCATCATATTACAAAACATTTCAATATACTCATAAATGCAATGCTGAAAACTAATGAACATAATGCATAATCCATATTACTGTAGGTATTATTTTACTTACTGACCTGTTCTCTTACTCTCTCCCTTAACATATCAGTCAACATACCAGATTATGTCATGGCCTCTAGGGCCTTTAAACAATCAAGCAAAAAAAAGTAGGTCACTATGTGAGAATATATTATTAAATCAACACACCTCTAAGAAGAAATGCATTTATAACCTGACAAATGTTCCTTGCTTACATGATTTTACATCATATGAGTAAAAGCAGAGGAAAATATGTTCAAGTGTTCAATATCCTGGTGCATATATTTGTAAGGATCAGGAGCTATATGTTTACACTGTTCAATTTCACAATTGTTCTTTCTGAAACACCACAAATTTCGATATGAATAAAAAGAGCCAAATTGATGTACTATTGAGTCGTATTGACATTGCTCACCTCGCAGGGACATTTTTCAATGCAAGAATAAAGCCAAGATTGACTGTTTATCTTTTTCTCTCTATTTGTCCTAACATTAAACAATGAAAATTGATGTTCCAAATAATTATGGAGAATTAGAATTGCATTCATTTCAATGCAAACTACCAAATTAAGTATAACTGGAAAATGTTGAAATATTTTTGCATATATTTCTTTTTCACTTTTGACTGATCCTCTTATTCTGAAATTGGTCTCTAAATTTACAATGCAAATCATGTAAAGCTCTTCTGGGCAATTGAAATGTTGATATGTCTTGTTCAACAAACCTTGTAAATATGCAGAAGTAAGTATTATATATATTTGAATGAAAGTCTATATCACCCTGTTCTATAAACCGTATATTCAGACCCAGTGATTTCTATAAGACCGGTGGCGGTGCACAGGTCAGGTTTTACTCTTCAAAACAATGCATACAGTGTTTATTCTTCTGCATCTACATCTATACAGTCTGTAAGGCAAAACAAATTATGTTCAAAGGAGCTGGATATACTTTTTTTAGAGTACTCAGATGAAAACAAATGAAACATGACTTAGCAATAAAAGTTTGTGATAAATTTTGTTCTAGTTAATGGAAAACTCCAGGCGTGGATCCACAAGGGGGGGGGGGGTGGGCTGACGGGCCCGGGCCCCCTCCCCCCTGGTCTTTAACAAAAAAACAAAAAAATGTTTTTAAACAATTTTTTGGGTAAGTGATCACATAAATTTCCGAGGGCAAAAACGAAGAAAAAAAATTGTGCTCACCACTCACTTGTAAATTATTGGTATTGACGATACAATCATAACAACTTGTTCTGAATGGTGGGGATTGGAGAAAAAAGAAATGGGAAATTCATTGGAATAACAGATAATTTCTATTAGAGGGCTTAGAAGTAGTCAGGGGGCATTTCAATTTTTTTGAAGTAAAAAAGCTGGTCAGAATGTGTAATTTAAACACATACATTTAGTTCAATCTTTTAAATTACAAATAGCTTGATGCTCATAATAATCATTCCAATCCAACCTTTCAAACCCAATAAAGTGGAAAGTTTTTTATTTTTTGATATGGAAAAAACTTAGGCCTTGTATGGATATCCCGGTGTATCGTCCTATGTCAAATGTTGTGCCTTAACCACATAGTTTTGCAACAAAACAAACTGCATTAGCAATACCCTATTCATGCAGTGGTTGCAAAGTACCTTATGCAATGACAAAGTGTCTGGAAGCCAACTAAGTGCTTATGAGGTACCGAAAGCTAGGTGTGTTGTTAATGTTGTTGTGTAGCTACAACTAGTTGCTAATGTTGCAGCTGTAGTGTTGTTCTCATTGTAGCCAGAGTTTTAGTCTCAATGCATCCACACCATTGAGATAGTAGCGAAAGAGTCTCTTATCTCTCACAAAGCCTAGGTTCTGATACAGACGCAAGGCAGGCTTGTTGGTGATCTCCGTCTCTAGAACCACCTGCAAAAAAAGAGAAGAAAAAAAAATAATGGAATAAGGAGAAATACCATTATACAACGCAGTTTCCGACTTGATACTGACTTCATTGTTTAGCATGCATCTTCTTCAACTTATTTGCAGACACATTTCCTGTAAGCCTACCGGGTACATCAACTCACAGGTACCGGTAGTTTTTTATTCCAATACCATTTATTTGATCTTGATATATAAAATTTTTTATGCGATCATAGAAGTGGAATTGTGAGAGGATATAGAATTCATGGGGGCAGTTGAAAAGCTGAAATGACTGATTTGATCACATTTACCTACCGGTACTAAAGTTGGATAAATGCTCTGAAATACATGTGTATTAATGAACATGTTTATTAAATTTCAAAAACATTGGGCATGATTGGAATGTGATATTACTTTCCATAGACCCCTGCCTGGGTGATCTAGGCGGTTGAATTCAAAGGGTTTAATACTGTTTTTCTTCTGTTGAAAAAAAAACATTACCATGTGTATGGGCATGAAACGAAACTGCATATTAATGTTCATACAAGGTGATGAAGGCTATGAATCAAATATGAAATGAAATAGAGTTAACTTTTAAAACGTTACAGAGGATTAGTGTCTGATCAGGAAGAGAACACGGGGGAAATAGTAACTGATTCTCTTGATTTCCCCCCCAAACCCCATATCCAAATTCAAATGCCAAGAAACACCTACATGAATCACTAACCTCATCACACTCTCCTCTCACCATTGCACGAATTGCTTTCTTGACAAGACTTGATCCTGTAAAATAAGATACATATTTTGAAAGAAATATATAAGATAGTCTAACATGATCATAACATACAGAATGAACAGTGCCAATAACCAAATAAATTAAGCCAACAATAGATTAATGTACAAGTAGTACAATTTTCAAAAGTCATGCCTTACATGGTGCTTCTGATATAGCAATGTGTTTCATGTCTAAGATTTTTATGTAAATTTATTGAATGGAGAAGAATAAATTACCTGAATGATTCTTAAGACACTGCTAGGAAGATTGGGGATAAACAACCAAAACAAATTCAGCATGTTTGGTAGTGGAGATATAAAAACTATCAATATGATTTCAATTGGTTTTATGAATAATAAAACTCATCACAGCAATGCATCACCATTGTTGCATGTGAGTATAGAGACATAACAATAAAGGAAAAGCTAATTCCAAATCTCTCAGCACATTTCTTTCATTTTGATCCACCATTATTCAAGCAACATTTGGTCTGAGCTTTATTGTATCAAAGATAAATGTATAGCTTTTGGAATTGAGTTGCAAATGTGTTTTGGATTGGGTTTAGACTTTAGGTTTACAATTGAGGGTTAGGGTTAGGGTTTGGTTTAGGTTTAAGGTTTAGGGTTCGGTTTAGGGCTAGGTTAAGGTATATGAATAAGGTTACGCAAAGTATTGCCCCAAGATTTGAAGTTAGGAATAATGCAACAAATTGAACATGGAGCAATTGTCACAGTTGAACAATCTTCTAACATACCTAACTTCTTTTTCCTATAATCTTCATCCACTGCTAACATAGCAATGTAACCTCTTCTGACCATCTTCTTATGTACATCCAGCTTACACACGATAGCTCCAACACAAGTCGAATCACGCATAGCCTGGAACAAAATAAACAACAATATATCTATCATTTGTGGTATAACATTTCTAAGGTTTTGAATTTTTTAAATCTATGGAGAGGTTGTAAATTATTTAGATTGCAAAATGTACTATTTCATAATGATGTAGAAAACCTTTTTATTTCATTTATTCATTTATTCATTCATTTTTCTTCATTTATTAAATTATTTTTGTTTAGAAGAGAAAGTATAGATTTGCTATGTTACAAATGAGATCCCTGAAGCAATGTTCTTAAAATGTAATGTTTCCTTTTTCCATAGGGAGAGTTGGGAGACTTCTTTTCAGTTTTCCAGATAATGATGGAGCTTTTACGAGGTCAAGCACTGTCTTTTGAAATATGAAGTTGAAGAAAAGATAATAGAAGATAAGAAGAAATCATATCAAAAATATATCAAAATCAAACAAAACAATTATGTCTGAAACAAAAGTAACAAATCTCTCAAACCACTACACATGTGCATGTAAGTTCCATAGTAGGCCCATTCTTGATGACATTGAGCATTGGTAATAGGAAGGAAATCATTGTATGTCATTGCTGAATCATACAGGTCATACACTATGTAGATTGTAGATTAAAAGCACATGAAAAGCACAGAGTATACACTGTGTAAGTTCAGCCACTATTTCATTAGCCATGTTAAATCAGAGAGATACCACAGACTTGCTTAATTTGTCATGGCATTTGTTTATTTGATTAAAGAATGTACTTGAAAGGTGTATAAATAGCAACAATAATAAATCGGAAAGGAAAATGAATATGATTTCCTTCCTCCTTATATTGTAGTAACTTCAGACAAGATGATATGAGAACTGTCTGTTATCCCTGTTATTCCCTTCTTCAGGGGTGATAGTGAGCACTAAAAAAAAATAGGTTTTTTGTTTTCCCCTCAACCATGCCCCCCTTGAGTAAAAAAAAATAATACGATTCGCGGGGGAAAATGGAATATAACGACATTCCCCCCTTTCGAGTAAGAAAATTGAGACAAAATTGGGAAAAAATAGAGAAGTATAGAGATAATAAAAGGGAAATCAAAAAGGGAAGGAAAAAAAATGATTTTTTTTTTTTTTTTTTTTTTTTTTTTTTTTTTTAATCGGGAAGAAAAAAAAAATCAGGAAAAAAATCGGGAAAATAAAAAAAAAAATCGGGAAACCGATTTAAATCGGGTTTTTATCAGGCCTGCTTCTTGTACTAAAATAGTACATTTCCAAATGTCACTACTTATTTGGGGTGTAAATCAAATATCTATTTAAGTAGATTTATATATAGATTTGTTTTGCATGTAACTGTAACACTATATGCATGGAAAGACTTGGCAAGTTGATCTACACTTCATTTTGCACCAAAGTTTAATACATACACTGTGCATGTACATCTTTCACTGATCTCTAGTCTTCATCATTAAATGACTGTATTCTCTTGCCAAATACAATACTTTCAAAAATGTAATTTATCAAATATGAGTGCTTGATAGACATCTGAAAGCAGATCACACAAATGAGAAGAGTGAGACACATCACTTCGGCATGGGAACAATGAAGCACACATTTTATGCAAATGTATGCACACGAATGACGAGGATAGATTGCATGATGCGACGAGTTTCCAGGTATCATTTCTTTCTTTGACCATATTACATGAATGTCAGAGCAAGAATAGTCTGCACGTACAGCCTCTAGACTCTACAAGTTTATTTACACAGTATGTGATTAAATCTTCCTTTATATATATTCAACTATTCAAAAATGATAAATCCACTTTGATATGTTACATTTATAATAAAGTGCATTACATAATACATTTAAAAGCGCTTTTGGCATTTTAAAAGTTACCGGCAAATACATTTCAATGCACTTAGGCATCAAAATTGGCTTAGATCAACTTGGGTATGAAAACGAGAGAAATTGATCAGAAAAGTACAAAAATAAACAGAAGCAAGGGAATGGAGTCTTTTTTAAATCTAATAAAGGAAAAGAAAGTAGAAAAATATCAAGTTAAAATGTTTGAAATTTAGATCAATTGTACACAAATTAGCATCTCTTTTGTTGTGATTTTTGTGAACTGAAATGTTCATAAATTACATACTGTATATTTTATACATTCCTCTGAAGAATCATTTCATTGTACTCCTACCCCAGATACATTATTGGACACATGTTTTTAGACATATCCACTTTGAACCAATCTCTTCCTTCATCAACAATTACTTAAAATGGAAATCTAATAAACTTTACAGCAGGAACATCATGTAGATAACTAATGTAATAAGGGGGAGGGGTAAAAAAATGCAGAAGTTTCTTATATTTAGGTTGACCTTAAAGGAAGGTCCCCAGACATAAATAATGTGATTGATATGAAGTATGACCATCTGATTGATGTTGTTTATCAAAATAATCAAACTCAATTCATGAAAATCAAAGCTACACAATAAACATGTACATGTACTAAATATTATCATCCAACATTGATATGTCATAAAATATTTGAATTGAAATGAATTTTATATCAAATTTTTAGAGGCTTTTTATAAGCACTGCCATGTAAACAATGCTGTGTGTACATGTACATAATGTATACAGGTATAGTACTATGCACAGAAATTGCAGAATACTACATTTCTCAACTGTTAGTCAGTAGTTTTGCTTCAAGTTTTTGGACAATATAATACTGGTATATACATTACATCATATATGTCAATTGTAAGACTTAGTATTTTTCTTCTAATAAAAAACACTGCCTTTGTTTATATCATCACAAAAAACATGAAAATAACTTACAAACTGGATAACAAATACATCTTTGAGTGCCCGCAAGAAGGCTGCTACTGCCATTGATAATACACAGTTGTTACAGTCTTTTTGCAGGCAGTCATGACAATGAAATGTACAGTACTCTCCTACAAACTGTATAAAAATACACATTATACATGTACGTACATGTACATGTCCTACACGCAATTCAAACCCATTTGTTAAAGCCTTAAATTAATTACATGTACACAATGTACTGTAGGTAGATTATAGATTAAACAAGAACTGGAGGAAATAGTACAATAGAATATGTACCATATGTGTACAAGTTTTCAACCCTAAAAGCATTAAAACCAACCAAATGTTAGTTCAGTGTAATAGTTGACCTTGTCCAAATTTACAAATACAGTATCCACTACCTACATCGCCATTACAGATCTATCATATTTTTTCAAAGATTGACTTCATATTCTTATGATTTTCATTAAAAATCTACTTGATTATTTCAAGTACTGCTATATTGTGCAAAATAAGTCATACTGTAGATGTGTGGTTGCATAAATAATAGTATGTCATCCATAATTTCTGTTTCTGAATTGGTCAACTGAAGAACATGTACTTTCAGTACTTGCCAAATGGTTTTTATTGCTTGCTGTTTTAATGTCCGCTGTTTTCTATAGCAGACACAATTGTAATTTTGATTTGATTTTTGTATTCTGTTCAATCTTAGTGCTTATAAAGCCTTATAATAAAATAATTATTTTGTATCATGCACTTTCAATGTTCAATACCACTAAAATTAAATTTTACCTTAAAACTTCAATTACTTACAGGTATGATCTATGAAGTATGAATAGAATATTTTGATGAAATCAAGGTATTAAACAGGAATTACATGTATAGCACAGCCTAAACATATGCCATATTGCTAAAAGATGAAATGTGGATTTAATACTTACCAAAAAGCATAAATTTGGCCAATTGTGGATGAAATATCTGTAGGTGTATATGGAGTAAGGCTCTGATAAGTCCTTTGTAATTAGTCTTATGATATCAGGCATTTGTAGTTCTGATTCATAGGGTACTAATCTTACACAGCTATCTGAATCATCCAGTGGTATTGTATCAATGTCTTCATCGTTGGGAGGAAGCTTTGTAAGGGCATAGTGGTAGTCTTCATGATAACCAAGAACAAAGTCTGAGAGTGAGGAAGGGAGTTCCAAGTCTGCATCATCCTCATCGTCCGAGTTACACTTTGCATCCGTAAGCGACTCGTCTATATCACCATCCTGACACGCTGCTTCTGAAGGCACATCAACATCCATGTGGGAATGTTCCCTCTGGGGTGCTACGCCATCCTGCACCCCTAATTTCTCAACCATTCGCGTTAGAGCATTTAAAGGTTCACTGATCACATGGTTGTGACTTTGATGGTTAAGATGGAGATGGTTGTCTGATTGACAAGTCACCCCTCCTGTCCTCTTTGATTCTTTGGTAGTTGCTTTACTTTCAACCAACTTATCATCAACCTTATCATCAATCTTAAGCCCATCTTCACCTAGTTCATGGATCCCATTACTACTTGCTTTGTCTTTCCGTCGTCCTTGTCGCTTCTTTCCTTTACTTTTCTTTGACGAGGTTTGATGATTGATGGTGTCTTCACTGTTTTTTAAATGGTTGTTACCAAAGTTCTCTGCCCCATGTACTCCGTCTTGTCCATTTCTTCTGACCTCTGGAGGACCACCTTTACTACTTTCTAAGCACACCATGGGGGGTTCTGCTGCAGCTGCCATTGTCTACATGTAGTCTAGTACCTATTCATGATAAAATGAGAAAAGAGTGACAGATCTAAGAATTATTCATCTATGCAACAACACTTTAATAATTTAATTATCATAAGGATGGGGTATTGCTTTACAAACCATCCAAAGTAAACATTTGCTGACATCCCATTGAAATGTGAGTTAATTATGTTCAAGTGGGATGACATTAACTTTTACTTACATGTATGACAGTCTGTACTCTTGTGAAATGGTGCCCTTGTCTTGAGACACTGTCTCAGTCTCATCAGGGGTACCGCAAGGAAGTGTCCTCAGCCTGCTCCTCTTCCTGTTTTACAACAATGACCTATCTGATAGTGTCTCTTCCCAATCAACAACCACATTGTTTGCAGATGACTGTCTCCTCTACTGCATGATTTGCTCTCAAGATGATGCAAAAAAAACTGCAAGAGGATCCCAATTCCCTGCAGCAGTGGGAACCAGACTGGCTGTTGACATTAAATCCTCAGAAATGTCAGACCATCTAAGTCGCTAAAAAGAGGACCCCAATCAACAAGACATACTCAAGCCATGGTCAATCACTGGAAAATGTCAGCTCTGCCAAGTATCTTGATATACACATACAGCAAATGAGCAAAACATGAGCTGGAATCACCATATTAGCCTGGTTGCCAAGAAGGCAAACTTCTTGGCAATGCAACATGAACTCCTGTCCAAGAAACATCAAGGTGCTATGCTACAAGCCTACAAGGCTCTCCTCAGACCTGTCCTGGAATACAGATACGAAGTGTGGGACCGCTTCACCAAGTATAATATTCGGAAGCTGGAGATGGCGCAACGGCGGTACAGCAGGTTCACCATAGGAGACCACCGTCGCACAAGTAGTGTCACCAACATACTCCTTCGTCTGCAGTGGCCCACCCTTGAAGAAAGGTGAGCTCACTTCAATGTGATACAAGGCTCAACTTGTACCGTATACTCATCTCCTTGGTTGATTGTACCAGCTGCGCAATACTTCAATCAGTACTCAACTTCCCTTCGTGGCTATCAAATGAAGATGCATGTCCCATATATGCATGACTTGCACTTATCAGATAACCTTCGTTCCTGACACCATCAGACTTTGGAAGGTGCTTCCTGCAAGTGCAATCGCCTGTACCTCAGTAGCCAGCTTTAAGACTGAGGTGCAGAAAACAAAGTTGCGCTAGGATTGCGCCTGTTCTTTTTAACAACACAGAGATTAGATCTTCCACAGCACTGTACATATATCTGCAAAACTTCAAAAGTATGAAGATACACCGACAAATGGTGGCCTGTACTTCAACAGAAGAAGAAGGTGCGGTCTCAGCTCAGCGAAACATAGATTGATCTTTCCACTATAAGTCCACATTCTTCGATCTACACGCAACGCTTTGTGAACCAAGATCACTACACCAGCCTACTAGAAGGCGTACTTACACTGCCGATATTGATAACTGCAAACTGTTACTTTTTATATCATCCTGTAATAAGTGGAATCAAAATACAAAGCTTTGTCCACTTGACTTCAGGTCGACATCTTTGAGCCACCTAACCATCCTACTTCTCCTCAGCGGACAAGTTGAAACCAACCCTGGTCCATCGACTAGTGCTCCTGAGACATTTCAATGTGCCATCTGTGGGAATGAAGTAGTGCTGTAGCCGAACCGCCGAACCGAACGGAAGTTCGCCGAACATGGCACTTCCGAACCGAACCGAACCGAACCGAACGCAAAAGGCCGGGTTCGGATGTTCTGCAGAAAAATGTAAACCATTTTGCAAGCTAATAAACTTGTCATTTTGTACCTAATTTTCATGTCATGATTGCTCATTTTATATTTACTTTTTTTCCCATTTTCCACCTTTGTGATTTATGCCTATCCAGTGGTGGGCGCAACTTCACTGGCGCCATTTAAATCCCAAATCCTAATCACGCTACGTCGCGATCGCAAGCCATATACAAGAATACATGTGCGTGATCAAAACAAGTTCAGCTCAAACCCATTCAAAAAAATAAATAATTGTAACCATATCGGACAAATTTTACAATATAAATAATGAAATAAATATATGTTATAGTATGGTATTTATTTATTTAGGGAAAATAGGGCTTTTATATTTTTCCTATTGAAAATAAAAACTTATAAAAAAAACAGTTATTGACGAGCCTGAGTCTCTATTATTCAAGATGGCAGCTTTCATGACTCTAACATTAGACAAGAACCGTCTCGGAAAATCTTTAAAAAATATCATTTATTGACAAATTGAAAACATGATTCTTTTAAAACTGAAAATAAAACATGATTCAAGACGGAAATACGAATGTCAGTAGTATTTTTCTTCACAAATAATTACGTTTAGAGCAGTTTTTTAATGTGAAATTCGTGCTAGTCGGAAGCAGTGTGCAGAAGTCCTCCGTGCTGGTCGGCCCCGGCAGGGCGGCCAGCCCGCCCAGTGCCGACCGCCGTGGCTATAACGCTGCTTGCTATTATTCTACCAACCCCGAACCGAACCAAGTTCGGGTGAAAAATTGCCGAACTCTGCCGAACCGAACCGAACACGAACATAGCGTCTGACTTACAGCACTAGAATGAAGTGAGAGACAACGACTCTGCTCTCTTATGCGATCACTGCGACTGCTGGTGCCACATTTCATGTGTCAGTATCTCCCCAGACTCCTATTATATCTTGACGAAGAAGTCCAGGAGCTTCGCTTGGGTGTGCTGCCAGTGTTCCTCTACCAACATAAGGTCAAGCAGCTCGCTGCAAGGACTTAACCTCTCACAGTCCAATCGTTTCTCACCCCTTCACAACAACTCCAGTGATGAAGAAATCCTTCCCTACATCAACCCTCTAACCTCTACGCCTACATCGAGCCCTGGGGGATGTCGTCAACCAAGATTTCACCCTCCATCAAGAAATCGCAAAAAGGCATTTAAAGTGATGGTTGTAAACTGCAATGGTCTGAAGGGGAATGCTAAGAAATCAAGCTTCCATGCAGCTATTGCTCACCACACTCCCCTGATTTTGTTTTTGGTTGTGAATCAACACTGGATGATAGCTTATCTTCATACTCAATTTTCCCAAGCAATTACTCCATCTACCGTAAGGACAGAAACATCCATGGAGGTGGTGTTTTCATAGCAATCATCGACACGCTAATTGTCACTGAATGTCCAGAGTTTGACTCAGACTGTGAGATACAGTGGTGCAATGTACAACTTGCCAATGCCAAGCCATCGTATATTGGTAGCTACTACTACCCCCCCCCCCAACAACAGACAACAAGGTCTTGAAGGCTTGCATCAGTCTTTGTCCAAGATTATGACAAGGCACCGATGCAGCCACCCTAACATCTTGATAGCCGGTGACTTCAATCATCCCGACATCAACTGGGATGACAAGTTTAGACCTATACACAAATACACACACAACACAATATTGCATAGACTGTACACAATCATGTCGATGCAGCTGTAAGCAAAGTTTGACACTGGACTTACAATTTGAATTTTTAAACTATTCTTTTTAACATCAGTAAGTTAAAAAATATGTATTTTACTGCTATTTAGGTGTCATCATCAATTGTCACTAAAGTACCTATTTTGAGTGAAATCAGTTGAGTTTTGTACAGTGGTGTTTGAAATGTTGAGAATCAAAAGCACAACTTTTACTACACAGCCAGGATAGTGATGGTCCTATGTGTGGCCTCACCTACCATCCCAGTATACATGTATGAAGGGGTGACCAAAGTTCGCGCAGATTTTAGAACAAATTAGAAAATGTGATATTCGATCCATGTTTTCTCATATTCTACACAAATTTATTTATTTTAATTACTACCAAATGGACGGCAAAGTATTTTACTACCAATTGGTTCAACTACAACATTTATCGTCGAAGGATTTCGGAGATATCGCGATCTAAAAATTCGATGTCCGATCGTGCATGCGCGCTGCATCTAAAAAAGTCATAAAAACAACGAGACCTAAGTTCACGCACGGGGGTTTACAGCTGATTTATACAAAAATACGATCCATCAAAAATAAGGTAATTTCATAATTTGCAAGGCAAAATATCATACAACCAGACGGTACCACTTATTACTTACAATTTTGAGGATATCTGCTCTCAAAATGAAGATTTCCAGACCCTTATCGGTAAGTTGGTAATTTTTCGGAACGGACGCAAATAACTGCAAAATGTGCCGATCTTTTGTCAATATTTTCACAATTTCGCACCCAATTCCAAAGAAAATTTCGTTTCTGGGTAATTTTATGATCCTCTTTCCATTGGTGATATCAGATTTTCGAAATCTTACCGATTTTTTGAGAAAGCGAACTTTGGTCACGCGCGAACTTTGGTCACACAGCCATACCATTTAGCTTCCTGAGTGAGCTACCAAAGGGGTTACCCAACTAAGTACCAAGTATTTAACATGATTACTAAGGCAATTAACAGTAGGGGCGCTGGTCTGAGAAGGATCTTCCGCACAAACGAGAATAAGGACAAACAGGGATCCTCTTCGTAAATGTGGACAGATGCGTCCGCAAAAATAAGGATCGTCCGCATTTTTAATCTGCACGTTGTCGATGCGAAAAAAACAGGTTCCGCAATGATTTTCTTGATGCATTTTACATTGACTTTGTCTTTGTAGTTGTACAGAGACTTTCACGTTATGAGCAATAAATCCTTGAAAAGACCGACAACCCAAAAGTAGACGGTGAGCTGGGGCCTGGGGGTATCTACACAGACTCTGTATTTTCGCATCACCAGTGCACGGATTGGGAACCCGAAACCCGCAGAGCACCGAGGATTTCCTTGTTTATGCGGACGATCCTTATAATTTTATTCTCGGACCAGCGCCCCTACTGACTGTCACTGATTATTGATTAATTCAAGCATTGATCACTTTTTTTAGTCATTTTCTAATGATCATTGACCCTAGACCATGTGAAGTAAAGCCCACAACTTCTAATCACACCGCCATTGTAAAGCTAGATCTGCGAGGGCAATTGCAATGCACAGCGAAACTTCGTAGCGGAGCGCGGAGCTGAGCTCCGTCGACCGTCTCCGTTCACTTGACTGGTTGACGGCAGGCGCAGCTCAAGTGAGTTCATGTTCTTGCACTTGCAGTCACATTCTGAATGAATGGCGGCTACTAAGGACTTTTGTTAGGTATTTTAATTGTGAAAAATAATTCTTGTTACACTTACCATGAAAAACTTTCTTTTTAAAAATGTTTCAGGATTCTGAGGACCGGTCCCATGAACTATCTACGATGATACGGCAGGCACGGTAACTCGACTCAAATATACTGCAAGACCCTAATTTGCAGAGACGGTTGAGTCAGCTCCACTGAGCACACAACGGGTAGTAGTAAACATGCATTGGGTCTAATCTTGGTAGCTGAGTTCGTTCAGTGGATTCATGAACCTTCGCTGTTCGACTTTGCTTTGAGTTTTCGCACGAATGCTACGGAGGGAATTTATGTATATATTTTTTCCTTCAAATACCTGTTTCCATGAGGGGGGGGGGGGGGGGGGGAGGGATCTGAGAATTCTGAAAATGGTGTTAAATGGATAGCTGGTAGGGCAACCACCACCTCCAACACAGTAGGCCTATATATGCATGAGGGGGAGGGGCAGTTGCCCCCGGCCCCTACCAATAACATTCAAACGTGGTTTGTTTCTAATTCGATTTACAAATGTTGGTGAAATAACATGATTTTCAGGGTTGTTTCTTTTTCTCACTAAAACTACTTTGTAGTTTCATGATCTTGACCACCATCGTCTATATCCCTAGAAACAATAATTATGCCACCTGGTGTTGAAGCAGATTTTTTGTCTACATCATATTTGTCACCTCCAGGCAGGCGCGGATCCAGGATTTCTCAGGGTAGGGGGCCCAACTTTTCTTCTTTTTTTTTTTGCTCCCGAAAATTTGAAAATCGCGCCAGCCGAAAAGTCGCTCAGTGGGGAAGGAGGGGGGGGGGGGGGGGGGGTAGTGAGCACATTTTTTTGGTCCTCAAAAATTAAAAAATTTGCACCCCCCCCCCCTTGAGCGTCAGAGGGGGGCCCAACCCCCCCCCCCCCCCAGGTAAAAATCATGTGTTTTTACATGATTTTTTTTCTCAAGGGGGGAGGGGGCCGGGCCCCTGGCCCCCCTGGATCCGCCACTGCCTCCAGGTGATCTAATGTAATTATATCATCTCGTTTTCAGAACAAAATAATGTTTTCACTCTTACTATGTCACTTCGTTCTCAATTGCCAAAATCAGGACAAGCAACATAAGCTCCCTGGCAAAGCAGCAATGTTATATATACCTATGTTGGTATTGTGGTTTGTTGCACTTGTTTGTAGTTTGTAATGTTTAATTCACTATCTTAGAAATAAATTGAAACAGGTTATAATGAATTGAACTCTCGAATGATTTTTATTTCAACTATAATGATTATTATATACATGAACGTTTGTGGACTAGTTGTATGTGACATGAAAATAATTCTGTTCTGGTTCTGGTTCTGGTTATGGTTCTGGTTATCTTCAGAGCGGCTATGCACTTATGCAGCATGAACTAAAAAGCAGGGTCCTGCGAATTCAAAGTGGCATTTCTTTAAAATCAAGGTTTAAAAAAAATGCTTTTGGAACTATCATGAAGAAAAAAAGAAAAAAATCAGGCTTGATTTTAATGGAATAAGATCATTTTCGCGTCCATCAATGACGCGCCCGTGTAGAGCGTACTACATAAGTACGCTGCATTAAAGTATCTTTGATAAGTAAAAGCTCTCTTGTAAAGATAAAAAAAGAAAGATACTCCCTCGACAACTCACCCTGATGCCTGTTCGTCTTCTTTATTTCGCCACCTACGTCAATGGACATGCAATGTATTGGCCTAATATATCAAGAGGGGTGCACGGGTGGGGGGGGGGGGTCCATTATAGTACGGGCACAATTCTTCAAGTGAGCAGATGTCTGAGGCCGTGATATAAACTTTTCAGTTGAATAGTAGGCCTTGTATCTATAGGGAGATATCCCCTAAGTTATGAGTCGAGAGCTTTAACCACGGGTTGTGTCCCCAAATGTGGACAAATATGTGTATGTGACGATAAGGCCTAACGAAAAAGATGGTGTATTTTTTTTTTTTTTTTTTTGTTCGTTGTTGTTTTCTGAGGAAAAAAATGTATTAAAGCATTCAAAACTGAAAAATATCAGCCCAAAGAGGGAATTTAAAAAAGCAAACAAGTTTTATAAAACGAAAAAGATATCCGACCGACCGGCCCATGTTTTGGCACCTAAAGGGCAATACAACATCTTTGTTTAGGCCTAACAAGCATTATCGAACGGGGCAAGCTCCTGTTTAGCATGACCGGGTGGGGAATCGAGATTTGAGGAAGTGTATGGGCGATGGGATCTTTGAGCTCCCTGAAATTAAGGATTCCATTTACACCTTTATTTAAAAAAAAAAAATCATTTTGAGAAGTTGTGTAGATAGAGGTAAAAAGAGAAGTTTTTATTTCATTGCACTAGGCTATATCACACAAATAAAAAAAACTTGATATTACTGTTATAGGGCAAATTTGGGCAGATTTTCTAACATAGAGATAGAGGGTGCGGCGGGAACAACCCTTTTCACATAGTTCAGGAAGGGGCTTAATCAATATGTAGGTATATAATTTGCATATAGGCCTATATATATATATATATTACACGAGAGCATAGCGACCAGGCAATTCATTTTTTGTATAGGGAAATTTACATTCTATCATTTTCATGGTTCTTCAAATTCAGTGCAATAATTGATACTCAGTTCTTTTCTTTTGCAATTTTGCAGAATTCTCGGGGAAACAAAAAAAAATGAGGCGGATTTGGCCCCTTGTCTCCTAGCATCGTCATCACTGTACATGATCAAAATGTTATTGTTGTTTATTTTGAGAACAAATACTCGTATAACCAATATGGTATATTAATATTACAAAAATAATGGTTAAAGTGGCTCACTCCCGGCCAGCAAAACAAAATCTGGCATACGGTAGGTTCACAGTTAAACACACACACACAAACAAAAATGCTCCCAGGATTCTGATAATGAGGATAATCATTGTTATAATTGTAATAACTTTGATAATAATGATAATTATTATCATAATTATCATTATTGTTATTATCATTGCTATAGTATTATCATTATTATCATTATTATTATTAATAATATTAGTATCATCATCGTCATCATCATCATCATCATCATCATCATCATCATAATCATCATCATCTACTTCCCCCACATCCTCCAACGAAATCCTCCCCCCCCCCCCCCCCCGGCCCCCCGCCTAATTTCCGGACAAATCATTCCCAGCATGCACTTTGCAATCCGTCTGCTTTTATCCTGTTGTTGGTTACATAACTGAACAAGACATCCAATTTTGCTCTTCTTAGCCTTCATTTTTTAGGGTAAGGATAATCTGGTATAAAGATGGGATGCTTATGGATGAAAAGTATTAATTTTGATTATCATATGTATTTCAATCAAAGTAAAAGCCGGAAAGAAAATTGTGTTTAAACTTATCACAGTCCCACATGCAGAAAACTACGTTGGATAATGACTTTCATGTTCTTGTGAATTTAATAATTCAATTGCCATGGCCCATGTGATGTGATAATTTATATGACCATGAGACTAGTTTATTGATATTATTTTTGGAAATAATTGTTAGGGATATGGTGGAATATACTCTGAGGGGCAAGGTATTATTACACTAACAATTAACAAGACAGTGTGACTGTGAGTCGTAATCTTTTGCTTGATTTAATTTTAAACAGAACAAATTGAATAGTCTAGATCTAGACTAGTCACTAGGCAGACAGTATCCATTGAATGATACACGCCAATAAAACAACAACAAATAATCCAGAAAATACACACAAAACGGTCAACAATTTTATGTGGCAAGTCTGTCTAGATCTAGAATCTCTTTTTTGCGGAAAATTGAGCAACGTAGATTTTTTTCTTCTTCTGGAGTTCTGCTTCCTTTTTATTTTTGTTTAATGCGATTTGAAATTCAGCATAAATATTCTTAATTAAATGATACACGCCAATACAACTTAAACAACAAGAACAACATCGTCTGGTATAATAAAACTGGGGGGGGGGGGGACTAACTAGCTGATTTTCGGCGGAATCCGGCAAAAAAAAAAATTGCCCCCAGTTTCTTCTTAGTTTGAATTCAACAGTTTCATTTGATAAATATATGATTGGAAAGACTATAGATCTAATTTCCGTATACTATCAAAATCACATAGAAATGATTATAAAACAACCAAATATAGGGATTTACTTTCAGCTAAAATGTCAATTTTCTCGAGAAAACTGCACGAGATGAGATCTACAATCACACAAACTGTATTGCGTAACCTCTCCTCACTAAACCTGTGTGATGTACTCAAGTCTCTGTATAGTATAGAGGCAATCAATGGAGCTAGACGTAGTCTCAGCGGAACAACTGTCAATATTAAGATTGAAGCTTTCGGTCTAGACTCTAGGCTAGTATTCAATTTAGTGCTGTAACATCACGGATATCTCCAATTCCGTTTAACCGCCAGTCAAAACCGGACGGTTTTTTATAATATTTTTTTTTACCGACTCTGTCGGCAACTTTCATTTAACTGCGAGGTGCATTTAAAGGGGCCGATTTGTGCTTGTGAACTTGTCACAAATAATAGTAACAATGTTGTTTTTAGAAGAATGTGTAAGATCATTAATGTAAATTAAAAACAGTAGAGGACTTAGGACAGAACCTTGTGTAAAAGTTGGATGAATTATTATTATAAACTACATATTGAGATGATGAGATCTATTACAAAGATTACTTTCAAACCAAGATGACAGACAAATTGGAGTGTCGTTCTAGTTTTGGAGTGGTGAGTAAACACACAGATTACTGAGCTGGGAGACATTGCCAGGCATAGTGCCAGGTGGAGGGGCATAAATCGAAACTTTAAAAAAAAAAAAAAAAAAAAAAAAAAAAATCGGGAAAACGAAACCGTCCAATTGAAAACGGAATCCGCCATGGGCGGTCGGATACCGGACGGTTAAACGTTTGACTACAGCACTAATTCAATTCAATACTTTTATTAGAAATCTGAGTATTATACAAAGTTTTTGGCTTAGATAAAATACTCTGTCAAGTTTGGTATTCTTCCTAGATAACTATACACAACAGTATGAGTGGTCATGTTGTTCATTTTTACTAATTTGAGTGAGCCATATATTATTATTAGAATTCAATCAACATTCCTTACAACTCTAGCCAGACTTGCTTTCTTCCTTTCTACCTCTCCACAGTCTCTCTTCTAGCTGTAGATACATCAACAA